CTAAGCACTCTTATAAATCACTATAAGTTGTCTCCTTCCAATTCTGTGAACACGAAGGAAAAAAATGCTGAAGGGGTAATGGTGGCCAAATAATGAGTTAAAGACATAAAATGGAATAAAGCAATGGATCCAAAGCCATATTGATTTTCAGATGGCCAGATCCCAGCGAGAAAGGGATGATTATGAAATAATAAATTCTTTCAATTTCACCATGTCTGACAAAATGCAGATGAAGAGAGGCAAGATAGACGATTCAAACAGCTTCACTGCTCTCCACAGTCCCTCTTTGCAAAAGGATCCAACAGATGCATGAGTGGTGGTACAGTATCACTACAGCTTTCACTTTAGAGAGAATAGCAAAGTTTACTTTGAGAAGTCTACTTACTCAATTTTACTTTGAGAAAATCTCAAAACCATAAGCAGAAAAATAAATCATGCCAGCTGACAGACTTTTTTAACTCTACGGTGTGTTGCAATGGAAAATAGATTAAAAAAAAAAGTGTTTTTTTTTTTAAAAAAAAACTGGTTTACAATTATTATTTTTGTTTTGTTCACACCTTTACTTTTCTCTCAGGGTGTGATCAGGTAAATAAATTTCCATAATTTTTTATGTGCTATGGTCTATCTTGTCATACTCCCAATTAGCAAGTTCAGATTTTTTTTAGCATTGTTTAAAAACAAGCTCTACTTGTAATTCCTATTTCCTGAATAACCGCATGAAAAGCAACTAGGTGGCCAGAGGTGAGGTTCTGTGTTCTCTGGATGGATGAACAATGCCTAAATGTAACACAATCTACAGTGTGAACTCCAAGTCCCTCTGCCATGCTGGGAAAAAGGCCACTGTGCCAGTTCCATCACACATTTCCAGCAAAGAACCTCACCACAGTCACGGTCTGATCCAACCTCCATATTAATGCTTTATCTTGATTTTAACCATCACCATTTTCCCTTCTTGTTGTCAAGAGGTCATTTTTGTCCTGGTAATCACAGACAATAAGCATTACTTTCCAGCATCACACACAAAATTAGATTTTTTTGGCAGTTCCTCTACCTCAAGGGCTTGTGAGTGCAGGTGACCAAGCTCCTCACCACCTCATCCCTGAAAAAACACTTTTCCTTCAGTCCTCTGGGAACACTAAGGAAGCCATCCAGGGTAAAATTTAGATGGAAATATTTATGTTAAGTAGATTATTTCCAGCCAAACATTCAATGTATTCAGGTCATGCCTGTCTGCTTCAGGGAAAGCAACTGTTCTGCAAGTGAAGGGAAATTGGGAGAGGGAACAAAAAAAAAACCCACCCGTCTGCGGAGTCGAAAGCCAAAGACGGGCCTGGTCCTTCCCTTCAGAGGCCTGAAAGAGAATGAAGGGAAAGTCTGAGACTTCCTGCCTTTGTAAGGAGTTTACTAATTAAATGTTAATTGTGGGCCTCGACTGACCAACATTTAAATGAGGCCTCGGAGCCAGGAATTGGGCTATTGTGGTTGGATTGTTTATACGGACAGGAAAATGGCTTTCTAAACATCGGATTCCTGCGTGCTGGCCAAGCTCTGGAGGAAGCTTCATGGGGAGCACTCCTGGGGATCGTGCCCAAGGACTGCTCCCAAAGAGCTGCTCCAGCCTCAGCCAGGGAGTGATCACACATTCTCCTGGAAGCTTCTGCAGGGTGGCTTTGATGGGGACATTGAGCAGGCGAGCGATGTCGGTGCTGCCAAGGGGTGCAGTTCTCTAACACAGACAGGAGGTTCCCCACCTCATGTGCCGTGGGTGGTGATTAGAGGATATTTGTGCCTTATTCTGAGATTAGAAGTGGTTTGTGGCAGGAACTCTCCATTTTTCATCTGTGTTTAGTGCAGAAAGCAACGGTATGGGACGGGGCCTCACAGTCACGACTGCAGTACCGAAGTCCTCGCGCTTTAATGCTTCCCTCTTTACTCTTCTTCATAGTGTCCACGTATTCAGATTGGCTGCTGAAACATATTCCAGTCTGGGCTGTGATGCACCTTTTATAGCTTGGGCTGAATTTTTGTCTTTGGGGCATTCAGCAGAGATTTGAACTTATGAGTTTAACTAGTTGCATCACTCCTTCACCTTTTTTTAATCTGAATTTCCTCTGACAACTTGAAGAGCCTTCTTAACACCCATCACTCACATCACCTCATGTGATGTTTCTCATTCACAATCCTCCTGCTAAGGAGCAATCACTGGGTATGGCTCTGCACTTGAACCACTTGGATCAGCTCTTCAGCTCCTGTCATTCCTCCTGCTTTACTTCACTACACATCTCAAAATCCAACCCATAATATACTAAGCATCCTGTTAGTGTCTATCTTCAGTTTCAACATCTCACACCAAGCAGTTTTTGAAGAATTCATACTATAGTCAGCCTATGTGGTCTTGCATTTTTCTGAAACTATTTCAGTACAGTAGCATGATATTATGAGATAAAAATGGTTTTGGGGTGCCAGAAGCCCTGGAGGCAAATTGTTTCCTGCATATCCATTTCTTCCCTGGATTTTCAATGACTTCATACTGATTAAAACTGGCTACTCTGCCTTAAGCTTGGTGACTGTCATTAATACCTGTCCCCATCAAGGCCAATAAATTTGACCTGGAAAATTCTTGTTGAACTTTCATCCTCATGTGATCTTCCCCTTTTATTTCTGTGTTTAACTTGTACCTTTGTATTGTTGGTAGTTTAGATTTGAAAATGTATTTGACCATTATATCTCAGGGGGGTAGGAAAAAAGTACTTGCCTGATTTACCAATTAGCCTTCTATTTTATTTTAGAAATTGATGTCAGGGAAGTGAAGTGATAGCCTAAGCCAAGCTGAAAGGTTCTATTAGTTTTGGGGTAGCCACGGTGTTAAGCAATTCCAGCTTACCTGGAAAAGGTCAGATGAGTCCCAGTGATAAAGCTCACAGCTGAATGTTGTGCTTTATTGTAGAACAGCTTCAAGCTGTATTAGCCAACAGTGACTTAAACTAGTAAACTGGATTCCCATCCAGTCCAAATTGAGCTTTTGTACCAAAAGGTCCCACTGGATTTCAAATACTGAAAACTGAAGCAAAACCAGGTTCCCTGTTGTCTTTCACCCTCAAAAGAAAAGAAAAATTCATGTTTGCTTTTTGTTTGTTTAATTTTTTTTGTTCTAGTTTAACAGTGAAGATTAAGGCCTTCTGCATCCATAGAATATGAGGAAGTAAAATGCCTCCCCATTGTCCCTGCACTTTGGAAATGGCAGTAGGCCAAAGTGTAACAGAAAGCTTGATGAGAGGGCTCTAGCATCCCTCAGCTCAAGGATTTGGTTGTGTATCACTGGCAGTCCTGTAGTACCACACCCTGAACTCCTCTTTTATAAAGCTATTTGGTTTTTTCATACCCTGCTTCAAGCAGTCCCTTTTGGTAATTTTGCTCAGTTATATTCCAGCTTTGCATGAAGATGCTCTGAGCAGTGTTTGGTGTAATATGATCTGGTCTCAGTGTCAGCCAAATTCTCTGCTGGGATCAATCAGTACAGCACCACTAATGCCAAGGATGGAATTTACTGGGATTACTGGTTGTCTGCTCAATTATTTTTAACGATTTTTTTTCCTCTACTAAAGAAACTGTTTGTTATTTCCTCCCTTTTTGAGAATAACACTGATTTCAGTGCAGGTACTTCTGACCAGCAGAACTGCACCAGGAGAAATTAAATGTGTATTCCTGCATATAGTGGGTTTAGATTAGATGTTAGGAAGAAGTACTTTACTCAGTAGGAAGAAGTACTTTACTCAGTGTGGTGAAGCACTGGCACAGGTTGCCCATGCCAGAGAAGCTGTGGCTACCCATCCCTGGATGTGTTCAAGGACAGTCTGGACAAGGCTTGGAGCGCCCTGGGATAGTGGAAGCTGTCCCTTCCAATGGGAAGGGTCGGAACTGGATGACTTTTAAGGTCCCTTCCAACCCAGACCCTTATAGTATTTCTATTATATCCATTTTTCTGCAGAAGAATTGTCTTATGGTTTTTCTTATATAATGGCCTTCATGCCACTTTGGCAACAATTTTGTAACATTTTTGTCATGCATTTTTGTCATGCACAGGAGCACAGGGTAGATGGAAGGAAATATTGCCACCACAGTACAGATGAGCCACTGACACACCAGCATCCAAACTTCTTGCAACAATTTTTTCTTCACCTTTTCACTGAAGTGAAACATCTGAGTGAAGTAAATAGTCAGTTCACACTTGGCCTGTTATGAAAGGGGTGGGTGGAGGTGGTGGTATCTTTGTCAGACATGGTTAGAGCTGCAAAATCCTCTTTTGGAGAATTTAGTGGCTAATGTGCTGTGTGGATGGGTGAGGAGAAAGTGCAGACTGCAGAACACCTCTTCTGGTTTGTTTTCTTGTTGTTATTCATTGGCTCTTCCTCTAAGTTTTCATTGTTGCTGTTCACAATTTGCTTTATTTTTAAAGGAAGAGATAAAATGCACATCAAGCAATGTCCCCATAATGTTCCTGAATTCATGTTCATTTGACTGTCTTCTGTGTAAATACATACATCATTGTTGCTTGGATTATGATTCTCCTTGTGCTAGGCACTTGTGAGTCTTACTTTTCATATACAAATTTATCCCATAAACTCAGTACAAAACCCTGGGAAAGATACATGGCAAGGAAAAAGGGTCTATTCCAGACCCAAATGGTTCATTTTCTGGCTCTAGACACTGTATAGGAGTTTTCCAGAGTGAGGGCCTTGGCAGGTGCCCTGCATCTTGGTGCAGTCACAGTTATTTCCAACTAAAATCATTAAATCAAATGCAATTTGCAAGTAAGTAAACAGTTGTCACAGGAGCCTTAATCTCAGGAGATGTTGGCAGACTGACAAAGAGATGTTGCCTCAGCAGCAGGAATTTTCCTTCCAGCCTATCCTAACCTTGGAGGACTTTACCTCTCTTTGCAGGCACATAAACTCAGTTTGTAGGCACATAAACTCATACTTGCACTGGTCATTTATGGAGTGGTCATTTCAGTACCTCACCTCTCAAGGAGTGTAAGATCAGGAGATTGACGAGAAATTCAGATCACCTCCCCTCTGAGCTGTCAGGTCCTCATTCCTCTTACCGTCAGTTGAGGAAAGCAGTCACATCTCTATAAAATACAGTATTAGTTATTATAGATAACCAAAAAAAAAAAAAAAAGAAAAGAAAGAAACGTCTCCAGACTATGATGTCCTAGACATGAACACAACCTGTCTGGGCCAGGCTTCAATCCATCCATCCCAGTGCCACTCTCCACCTAAACCCTGAATCAGAAGAAGAGAACAGCATAAAGTAGAAATAAAAGCTTCACAGCAGACATCATTTAAATATTTTGTGGCTCCCATCTTGCTTCCCTTCTCGGTGAAAGGTGGAAGAAATTCTTCTGTGTTAAATATTTTTGCTACACAAAGGAAAAAGTTCAGATTCTTCTGTTGATTTGGGGAAATTCTGGTTACTATAAACTCTGGTGAAATCATTCTAGTTAGGAGGAAAAAAAAAAAAAAGAAAAAAAGAACGGAAGTAAAAAAGTAAAATAATTTATTTTTTTTAAAACTTTTTTTTATTTTTGGTAATGAATGTGAAGTGACCCAGAAATAATATAATAATATAATCCTCTGCAACAGAGAGAGCTAGAGTTGAGCTTAAGCCTTGAAGTACAAGGTTTAATATGCCTTCCAATAATTTTACTGTCCTTAATTATGGTTTGTATTGTTATCCTTGGTAACTGTATGAATGGCCAATCATTCTTTAATATGGCTTTCTTCAGGCCAAAGTGTTGTTTGGTTTTTTTAATAATCTTATTAAAATCTGCATTTAGCAATTTGGTAGCAAGTCGTTCTCTAGGTTGATAGTAGAACTATGAACATAGAATGGTTTGAGTTGGAAAGAAACTTGGAGATCACCTAGTTCCAAGGTTCCTGTCATGAGCAGCGACTCCTTCCACCAGACCAGGTTTCCCAGAGCCCCATCCAGCCTGGCCTTGAATGCTTCCAGGGCTGGGAAATCCACAAGCAGTCTGGCAACCTGTGCCAGAGCCTCACCACCATTACAATAAAGAATTTCTTCCTAATATCTAATATTCTTGTGATCCTAGATGTACCCTTTATGTCACAACCCAGTTGGTCTGTGCCTGATGGCAACGGTCAGAGGCTTTTCTGGATAGCTGTGAAAATTATTGAATTTTGATTACATCTCATGTATTTCGGGGTCCTGAACAACTTCATCTAGTGGGCATCATCACCCTTGCCCATGATGGGGTGGTTGGAACTTGATCATCTTCAGAGTCCCTTCCAACCCAAAACATGTTATGATTCCATGTCTTCCTTGCATGCCTTCATTCACTTCCCACCTCCTTCCTGTGTCAGTTCCAATTGCACCTATTACTTTTCTGACCATCTATCTTCTTTTTAGCTTCCTGCCCATCCCCATTCCTCAGAGCAATGCACTCATTTAGCAGCTACATGGGTAACCTCAGCAGAAGTTATTTTAAGCAAAATACATTTGCACTGGAAGTCTCCCTTCCAGATACCTACCAGGCCCAGTGCTGCCTCGTTGATATGAATTAATGGCATCACTGCCTAAGGTGCAGAAGCACTGAGAACTAATCTGTTGCTCTGTAATGATTTGGTTTGTATTACACTGCAATGATTAAGGCTGCAAGTTGGAAAAAGTATTTAAGTGCACATTAAACATATGCTTAAGCCTTAATGGTGATAATAATAGCAACACTCCCAGTTGTATAGCTGTAAAATAGGGGAGACAAACCTGGACTGCCTACTGGAATAATATATTTTTATCCTAGATTAAAAGTGTAATGTGCAATGAAAGATGAGATGAGATGAGATGAGATGAGATGAGAGGAAATAGGTTTACACCAGCTTTTGTAGTACCACAGGACAGTGTTATCTAAGTCTTATATTTTAAAGACATTATTAAGAAGTAAACCATCTGATTTGACTTCCTGTTCCATCTCATCCTGTTAGGCCTGTATCTAGGCTGTAACTTGTGTTGGACTAGCACAATTCTACCTGGAGGTGACTCAATTTAAATTAAACAGCATGCATCAGGAAATGGAAACTCCATCATTCCTTTCTGTAGTTTCTTAATCAGCCTCATTGTTAAAAAGATATGTGCCTTCTTTCTGAGATGAACACATCTAGCTTTCATATCCATGATTCTTGTTATCTGCTTTCTGACAAATTAAATTGCCCTTTCACACATGGCATTTTCTCTATTATGCAGTGTAATCAAAGCATTTCTCAGTCCTCTTGCATACAGGCTAAATAAAGAGAGTTCTTAATTTCTTGCACCATCAGGCATTTTCCCCACACCTCCAATCCTTCCAGTGCTTTCCTTCTGTGTCCCCTCCACACCTACTGCACCCAACCCAAAACAGCATTCCCACATTTCATGCACAGACCTCCAGATCAGAGGGACATCCTGATCTATAGCAAGGAACTCTTCCAAAATATTCTGGCTTGGCCTAATTTACTTTCATTTTTTTCTCAGACAAGTTTTTTTAATGGGCAGAAACCAGGATAAGAGAACAATGACCCAGCAGGTGTGAAGGTGCAAGAAGCCTTTCCTTGGGGACAGAGCAGCCTTGTACCCTGGCTACATCCAGGACATCCCATCTGACTGTGCCATCAGCTCACCTCAGGGAAACAGGCTGGCCAGTTATTGTCAATTACACCAGTCTAATTAAGCTTTGATTTACAAATGTCATTTTACATAGTCATTTTATACTTGGTAGAATGTGGTTTGATTACCCCTTACTGTTGCCTTCTCTTCAATAGCTACAAATGCTATTAGCAGCTGTGCAGCAACTTATTCATTTCTAACAATATGACAATAAAGCCTATACCATGGTTAACCATGCAGGAAATGTCACTTGCAAATTATCCTTTCCAATTATTCAGTATTAATTTAAGGGACACGGTTATCAGTCCAGTTACAATTCTTTTCTTTATATGACCTTCTGTTTAATAGCTTAAGATTTCTTTTCTTTTTCCACTTTATTTTATTTTTCCTTTCTTTAACTTCTTTTGTATCTTCTCCTCTTCTCTTCTCTTTTTCCTTTTTCTCCTCTCTTCTCCTGTCCTCTTCCCCTCTCCCTTCTCTCTTTCTCCTCTTTACTTACCTTTTTCTCTTGTCTTTCCTTCAATCTGTGCAATCAGAAATTGAAATTGAATTTCCTAGACAGATTCCAAACCTCTTGTCTAGGAGCACATGTTGCAAAGTCACAGAAATTGCCTAATCCAGTTCAGTGAGAGATAGTTGATGACCATTTAGGAAGGGCTGAAAAGCTCTTATCTGTACTGTGGGAGATTCCAATAATTGTTTTAACCATCTACAGATGACTGGCAAATAAACTCAGGAGTTTTTTGTTTTGTTTGTTTGGTTTTTGGTTTGGTGTTTTGTTGGGTTTTTTTTAGATGAAGAAGAGGAAAGAAAATAACCCAAGGAATCAGGTTGTTGGAACATTACTGCATTAATCATCCTGAAAGCTCTGGGAGGCTCGGTGGTTCTTCAGGCTGTACAGGGCAGCAGAAGTGGCTGAGAAAATCCTGGGTGTTAAAAAATTCCTCCAGTGACCTTTTTTCTCCATGGTACCTGTCTCCTCTGCCTGGGAGGAGTCACAGTCTTGGAGACATGCAGCTTCTTTCTTCTGTCAATACAAATTCAGGAGAGTCCAATCTTGGTCCTTTTACCCCAAGGCTTCTGCCACCACTCTCAAATTTGTTTGTGATTGATGTGGTAGCACATCTCTCCTCAGCAGAGCAGTAAGGTATCTAGGTCATGCTTCAAGGAGGGATAAAGCCAGGCTCTCTCAGGGCTGAACTGTGAGATTTCACTTCCTAAATGACTGTTCAAACCAGTGGGCTATTAAGAAGGGGAGATCAGACACCACTGGCTGGGTTTGCAAAGCAAAGCAGCTAAAACAGCATTTTGTGAGGGCTGTGATCCTATTAGAATGTTTTAGGCAAACTCTGAGAACACCCACACAGTCAGAAGACCAAAGTCCTTCTCCACCTAGCTCAGGATCCCAATGGGGATTAAGCATAGGCCAACTCTTCCACTGCTAAATTAAGTGGTTAAGAAGAAATGGGATATTTGAATCTGGAATTGCCTACCTTCCTCCATCAGCTACAGAGGGAGACCAGACAACTGGCTTAGACCAAATGCCAAAATGCATATGAATAGATAAGACACATCCCCTTTTTTGAGTCTCAGTCCTCTATTTCTAAAATGGGAAAACTGAGATTACTTCTTTCCTTCATGGGGTTATTATTGGGCAAAAACTAACTGTGAGGTTTTTTTGTACTGTTAGGACAAGGTTAGAAATTATCCAGAAGCAGCAGTGCTGAGTGGGAGAAGAAACATTTTAAAAATCAATTAATTAGCTCTAGGAGAAGGGGGATTTCATTCTTTGTTTTATGTCTAACACATCAATTTTGGTGCTCTCTGTTCAGGCCCAGTTTGTTCCTTGGAGCTAATGATCACAGATGCAGCAGAGCTGGAATAGCTCCTTCTCCTTCACTTCCTGCTGATGGATTAGAGGACACCTTGCCTCTGTAACAACCAGAGCCTCTCCTTATCTACACAAGGAAGATCCAGGGAACACCTTATTTGAGTGCCAAGGGAGATTGAAATTAGGCAGATCTGCAGGACAAGCTCCCATAAACCTGCAGAGATCTGGGAGAAGCAAGGGCAGCTCAGGCTTCTGCAAGACCACACCTAAAACAGGGCGAGCAGACCTTGTCAACTCATCAGCGAAGAGTGGCAGGTCCCCCCTGTGCTTTCTCAGGAAGTTTTGTATAAACATAAACTCATTTGTGGTCGCTGAGTTTGAAACGATTATTCCCACAAACAGACCAATAGGAAGCAGAAATAGACCGAATGCGTATTTTTCAGTTTGTGGTCTCCCCGGGGTTTAAATACAAAGAGAGAGTTAACAAAATGAATGACAACATTACACCTGAAGACGATTAGGAAACAAGATAAGGCACCCCTGTGTTTATCTTTGACAGCCATTACAACACAACGTAGCCAATATGTAGTTCAATCAGTTCTGATGACACTTTCTTTCTCTTTTTATGATAAGAACCG